CTCCCCTTACATTGGCTCCATCCAAATCAAGGGTTTTAGGAGGGAATTTAAAAAATTTGACTAATTATCCCATCAATTTGATTATATTCTCATTCATGCCCCTCGTAATGTATAATATTATAAAAACCACTAATATCTAAGGGTATAATTGTAAAGTAGTCATTACCTCTCCTCCCCTCCTCTTTTGAACTGAACACAGAATCATTCGTTTCCTTCCCCTTCCATCCCTTCTTTTCCCTCCTATCCATCCCCCTCCTTTCCCTCCCATCAAACTAAACATGGCCTTATTGACCAGGTCCTGGTTTTGGGCTTTAAGGCCCAAATATCTCACAAAAAAGATTTCTTTTCATAAGTGGGTTAAGGAAGTTAACTATCACTCATAAAAATTGTGGGAAAATCTTTAGAGTTACAAACACTTTAGTTTCCTTTAAATCTTACAATGCAAAAATAATATTTCTTGAGGACAAAGTACTAATATACGAAGTAATACTTAAAAACTTTGTGCAAATAAAGGGGGAAAAGATAGTGAAATTAAGACTTAACAGCACTTCATACTTACATTGTACAAATATTGCTTGTTATCTTCTAATACACAGTTTTTATTGAATGGCATTCTAAAGAATGTTTTGTTCAGGCTTTGTTTGTTTGTCTAAGTACGTGCACTTATTGTTGCGTTATTGGTTGCTATGTCATTCCTGATATTTTTTCTGTTGTAGGATGAAAATGAGAGTGTTTTGAAGTGGATGTGTAGAAATGATGCCCATTACCGTGATAAGTTATTGGCCTGTGGGGCTTTAATTGTTGCAGAGCTTAGGTTGCAAGTACTAAAAGAGACTGAATTTACATGTTCTGCAGGGATTGCTCATAATAAGGTGAGAGTAGTCTCTAGTTCATTAGAAATATGCAAATATCTAGATTTAGGTTGTAGTTTTTCTTTATATTTCATGATATCTAAAGTGGTGGCCACTCACGTCTGGAAGCTACGAGTGACAGAGATGAGGATGTTAATGTGGATGCGTGGGCATACGAGGGTGGATCGTATACGGAGAAAGGATATTAAAGGGAGAGTGGGAGTGGCCTCTGTGGAGGATAAGCTATGGGAAGCTAGACTGAGATGGTGTGAGCGTGCACTTAGGATTAAGTATGCTCCGATGAGGAGTGCGAAGGCTTGTGGTAGGGGGTATTAGGAGGGGTAAAGGTTGATCTATGAATGTTATACCCGAGACCCGGGGTCTTATCACGTTGCTATTTTAGAGAAGGAATTATGAGGAGGTGAGGGAAAAATGGGGTGGCCGAAATATTATGGGGCAAAAGGGGAGTTCTTTTGGTGTTTTTTTTATGAAGAAAAAGAAGAGGTTTAGGAAGAGAATATGGGGAGGCACGAAATGGGGGAATAAAATAGGAGGGGATAAACCAAGTTGGTGTTAAGAGATATGACACACTCTTATCTTAACTTGGGGTTTGAATCTAGAATTCAAATAAGATATTACACACTTATTTAAATATCTAGAACCTAAAACTCACACTTAAGATAACCACTCTTAAGATATAGAATTAGGAATTTGGCTTAAATAGCATCACACTATTTAAAATATACTCAAAGAGTAATGTTTTAATTCATCAAAAAAACTGCCTTACAACATGGCCCTAAGGCCGAATTATATATGAAGGGGAAAGTGGGGGGGNTTCTCGGCCTTTAGTGCATGGGAAATATTTATGTGAATAATACCCATACTTTGATTGGTTTTTTGGGTGATGTATTCTCGGCCAAGTGGGGGTAAAAGAGAGGGGAGGCTGGCTGTTCTTTTGGAGGTATCTCTTGGGTGTTTATGTAGAGAATAAGAGAGAGTTGATTGAGTTAGTGGTGGGCCAGGGCTGTGCAGCTTTGTTGGGGAACAAAAGGGGGGACAGGGGCAGGTCTCTTACATGGAATAAGAGAGGGGTTTTGGCTGGTAATGGTGGGTTTATTGTGTGAAATAAAGGAGTGGTTTTGGCCTGGTATCCTCGGCTCTCAAATGAGGGAATTGAAGTGTTTTGTTTGGTTGTGGTTTATGCAAAGAACTTCTGCCAGGGGTGTATTAGGGGTGATATGGGGTTCATGGGATGCCCTAAGTTTGGCCAAAGAAAGAATGGAAAAAGGGAAATAACAACAAACAAAAGGTTTTGGTTTACACACTCTTTTTTTCTGCCATAGGCTAAAAATAAGTGTAGGAAAACATTATTTTGAAAGGAATTAAATGACAAGGAACTTTGGATGTTTAGGGAAGGAATGGGGGGGGGGGTGTTGGTTCGGCCTAGGTGGGGTGTAGGACAGCCCTGGTGTTGGTTTGGGCTTTAGGGAAGGGCGAAGGAGTGGATTCAACCCTAATAACGTCACCACACTTTGGATTTATTCCCCTGATCCGTCTTTCCTTTTGTGGGCTAAGGAAAGTCTCCGTTGATGCTCCCGGATATCTAACAATGAAGAGTTGGGAGGAGGTGGTTAGACCTGACTTAGGAGTTAGGACTCTAGAATGTCGAGGATATGACGATATATAGGGGGGGGGGCTGTGGAGGTCTAGGATTAGGGTGGCATGCTAGACCATTAGGCCTTAGTTCGTAGTTATTGCTAGTGTGCTTTGTGCCTTAGTTTGTAGTTTCTGCATGTTTTATTAGTGGCTTTCTTTGTTCATGCTACTTTTCTTTGTTGTTATGATCCCGTGCTTTGAGCCGGGGATCTCATGGAAAACAACCTCTCTACTCTCTGAGTAGGGGTAAGGTCTACATACACACATCCTCCCCAGACCCTACTCTATTGGAGGGATTTTACTGGGTCTGCTGTTTATATCTTGTGTGTTAAAATTTTGAAACGACACTACTTACAGATGTTGGCCAAACTGGCTAGTGGGATGAACAAGCCTGCACAACAAACTATAGTTCCCTCATCGTATGTCATGAAATTACTTGAACCATTGCCTATACAGAAAATGTAAGGTTTCCTATATTTTATCCTTGTTCAGAAATTTATTAAGTGTCCTCGGCATGTTGTTTGACTTTTTCCCCTTTTCTGAATTTCAGTTCTATATGAATTATGTTTTTCTTGTTAAGATTTTTCCCATTAACATTTTTTTGGGTGATATTTTATTTCTAAGATTTTTGTCTTTGCATAATAGTTATGCTTGTATTTATCCGTGTGGAGAGTATGAAAACACTTTGTATTCCTTGAACCCTTGCACCAATCATCCAAATGAGATTACAATGCCATACTTACATAGAAAAATGTAGGAAACCAAGGCGCCCAGAAATATGTGCTAAACCAGTATTTCTAAACACGGGCTGAAAGACCTTTTATGATCTGTTATTTATTCAAGAATAGTATGTTTCGCTCTTCAGTTTGTCATGCTTTCAGCTGCAATGTAGTGCAGGAAACAACTTGGTGGAAAGCTTGGGACTTCATTGCAGACAGACCTGGGGGTGAATACCGTTGGGGATCTGTTGCTATTCTCAAAAGAGAAGTTACAGGAGCACTTTGGCACAAATACTGGGTCATAATCTATAACCAACTTTAATTGAGAATATGCATTATAAATATATCATGGCATCTTAAGCAAACAATCACTGTTCTTCCCAATATCTTAGCGACTAGACTTTTGTTCTAATTCTTTTGCTTCTCTAAGATCCAGCGAATTAAAAATAAAAATCATATCTGCACAAAATATTACTACGTATAAGACTGCAAGTCTGCAACTATTCCACAAGTTTGCTTTTCATCCAATCCCTTTTTTGCTAGACTAAAGAATTTGCAACTGCTCATATTCCACAAGTTTTGCTTTGCCAAAATGATTTCTTAGAAGAGAAATAATATAAACCTAATTTTTTTTCCATGAGGAAATTGGGTAAGTTTTTTTGGACTGGACAAAAAAGGAATGTTAGCAAAGTTGATAGATTGTTTTTGGATTCTATGTTCCTCTTCATTTGATACATTTTGCTCAAGCTCTCAGGAAATTGAGTAGATGCAGCATACACTCCTATTCTGCTGAAATCACTGGGATTACTTCTGCAGAATGCAACAATATGAATATAATTCACTCTGTATAGTTACTGCAGAACACAATTTAGATGCAAATCAGAGTCTGCATTACATGAAACTGAGTTCTTAGTTGCAACATGTTCTCACCAATATATCCTCTTTTTTCCTCCCCTTCTTTCTCTCTTTTTACTTTTTCCCTGTAATCATTGCAGTACCTGGTTATGGAATACTGCAAGAGGGATTAATACAGAAGAGGTTCAGGATCGCCTTCTCCCCAAAAGTCATGGCTCTGGAAAGACATTTCCTGGACTTCGAGCACTTAAATCAACTGCTTCTGTAAAATCAACACGTGCCTTATTGAATACTTGTCTTTTGTTTCCCTCATGTGTGTTACTCCCTCCGTCCAAAAATTATCTTCCCGTTGCGCGTTATGTTGTTTGACTAAAATGATTTTCAAATTATTTTAAATGAAAAATGGTGTGGAATTAAAAAAACAAGAACTACATCAAAAGATCTACAAAACTAGAGGTGACGTGACTATATTTAAAAGATACATCAAAAGAGCTACAAAACTATAGGTGACATGATTATACTCCGTATTATTTTATCAAATGGGCAACGAAAATAGGCCCGAATAAAGTTTGACCCTATGAATTGTGAACGGGAAGAAATTTTTGTGGACGGAGTGAGTATTTATAACTTGTAGTCCTCAACCAACATTGAAGGAGATTTTTTGTTTGGAATGTTTTATTTATGACCATAGCCTAAATTTTTTTTCCCAATTCACTAATGTTGCTTGTTTTGTTTCCCAAGTGTAATTAAAATTCAGCTTGACCATTGAATTTTATGTTTTGATTCATGGAAAAATATGTATTCATTTTTAGTAGATTAGTAGTTTCAATTTTAAGCATCAATACCCAGACAAATATAGCAAATCAATCAAGAGAACACTGAATAGGGTTTATAAAACATTTAGTTTTGGTGTACTTTCTAATGTTCTTTTGGTATTTTTGATGCTTCTGTTTATTTTTAGGTAGAGAAATGGCTTAATGAGCTTTGCGACGAACTTAATGAACGCCTTCAGTGTGACTTGGAGCAGAATAAGCGCATAGCGTGTACATTGACTCTACATGTTTGTGCATACAAGGTTGGTTGTTCAAATAGCCTTGACTTGACTACTTCACATGTGTCATTCAATTTATGTATACTTGTTGTTATGTTGTTATTATTATTATTATTATTATTAATTGGATTACAAAATAAATTGATTCTGTGTATTTGTAATTTTCTAGACACATGATACAGATTTGTTCAAGAAATTTCCTTCTAAGTCATGCCCATTAAGATATGGGACTGCCAAGATCCAAGAAGATGCTATGATCCTATTTCAAGCAGGGCTCCGTGAATTTCTTGGCACGTTTAATGTTATGACACCAACAAAGCAACACGATGTTTGGGGAGTGACAAGCCTTTCTGTATCGGCTAGTAAAATTATCTGTATACCGTCGGTGAGTTAAACCGTTTTTATATTTCACTTTGGTTTTTTGCATCCTCCTCATCTTGATTATTAGAGGTTTTCTTTCCCTGCTTTTGCTTATTTATTTGAGTAACATGGAGTTAGCAGACTGTTAGAATAACGTGGAGTAATAGTTTAAAACTGAATCTGATGGTTTGAACTTTGTACTTATTCCTTCTCGCCTTAATTCTTAATGTGAACTCCCTTTTATAAAAGGGGTACCCTCGTGCAAGAATGCTTTAATTAGGAAAAATCACAGCTGAATGCTTCAAATAATGTCTACACGTGAAGTCATGCACCAAGTCACCAACAAACGATGGAGGTGTTGTCACTGTGAAGTCAAGACATATTTTCTGGGCTGTTCACGAATTAGAATTAGTAAAATTGATCTCTTTGACTTTGTATGACAACAATGACAACTCACTACAACAATGAGGTCTAGGGCAGGTTGGCATACGCAGATCTTACCCCTACTTCAAGGGAACTTTTATCAAAACAAATACCTAAATAAATGGTGCCTATGCAAACAGAGATGATGGTACTAGCCAATCATTGAAATACTTAATTGATCTCGAAATTGGAAATCCTATTAATGTGCATGCTTAACATAGAGTTTCTGTTCATTTTAGAAATGATTCAATAATTGTGTGGCAATTGACAGGGCACGCCTTCAATCCTGAATTATTTTCAGAGCCAGTCCCAAGCATGCTCTTCAACTAAGCAATTAAGTCGAAGTTCTACCCAAGATGCAGTGCTTTTGTCTCCCATAGGTTCTCTCTGCTCCCACTAGCTAGCTTCATCTTTCTTCTTATGTTTTATTGTTTCTTCTTTTTCTCAGAGCTTGTTAGAGTATAAAACCTTTCCAATCACAAGCTTGAACTTTTCGTGGAGTTGGTTCCTTGTCAAAGCTATTGAACCTGTCTTTCAAAATCAGTATATGGAAAGTTAACAAGGAAGTGATAACTATTCTGCATTCTACAGAGCCAGTGATTGAACGCTCTCAAGGGACTGAGTGTGCAACACCAGCTTTGGAAATACATGAAGACTGTGGAGAACCATGTACAATTAAGGTTAGCTGATGTCCTATTTATATGATTATTTATCTCCAAAGTACATGCTTTCAACTATGACTTGTCAAAAGGTAAATAAAAGATTCTTTGATGTATACTTGATAGAATAGGTTATAAGCAAAGGAAGTAAACACACTCCATTATAGTTTTCCTTTTTTATGCACTTTCATATAGTGCATTAAAGATAACTTTTTTTGCTGATATCACTCTCAACTAATCCCTTCCATGTAGTGGTAAGGTCTGCCTACACACACCCTCCACAAACCCTACTTGTATGGCATTTTATTGGGTTTGTTGCTGTACTAATGTATTCTCAACTTACAATTATAGATATTCTGGAAAGTAAAAGTTGATGGAAACCTAAAGAAGAACTTATGGCTTGTTTACTAATTGGAAAAGATTTTTATTTTTTGAAAAACATAAAACATAAAGCATCTTTACTTTTTATCTTCTCTTAATACACATAACAGAAACCACGTTTACTTTTTCAGTTTTCTTCCTGTTTGTTTCCTTTTCTTTTGTAAGAGGGAAAACCGGTGGTTGACACAATGTTACTAAGACATAATTGCATTGATTATATATATAATTTACAATACCAGTAACCTATCTCTTGTTCTCTCTCACACCCACAGTATGTATGTACAGTGAAGCCTCTATTTAGGATTACTCTATATAAAGGTATGGTGTTTCCAAAATTCCCATTAGTCTGGCTTCTTCAAGAAACAATCTCAATACTCCTACCCTCCCAAACTCTACTTCTGGGGCATACTAGGCATGTTTTGTTTGGTTGGATAGCATGAAGCACTAGAGAACTCAAATGGCTTAGATTTGCCTTGCACAGGGTGTTCTCTCTTCATCCTATCCCCTAGAAGATGGGTTCAGGGAGGAAACGTTTGCATCGCCAATTTCAGGTAATTTTTTCACATTATGTTTGCTCTATCCAATTAGACGATTTTGTTCATAATTTTTCCTTATGCAGATTTTTATTATTTTTTACACTTCTATTTTAGAGGCTGGAACTCCTTCAAAAGTTGCGTCAAATCAAGCCATGTCAATGCTTGACCCTGGATTAGAACAAATAACAAGCAGTTTGACATCAATAGAGCAGGACACAAAGTCTTCAAAAAATAAGGTTTACAAATTCAATTTCATTTTTTTTTTGCTGCCTTGGCATTGTGCTATCTTTCGTCGCTTCGTCCATTGTTTTCTTTTCTCAGCAGAAGTGACTGATGTTGATATACATGCTGCATGCATTAACGTTACACACAACAACAAACTCAGTAAAATCCAACAAAGTAGGGTCTGGGGTGGGGTGGATGTATGCAGTACTTATCCCTACCTAGAAAGTGGAAATACTGTTTCCAAATGACTCCCTAGCTCCAAACACAAGAGCCTGGTTAGAACATATCAACAAATTAAGGGAAAGAAAAGAGTTTAAAAAACAAAAGAACTCTTGCGTTAACATTATGGTGCAGTGATTGCATAACTGAATGTTAACATATTACAAGGATTGGATTTTTTTTCTTACGTAGACATATCGCTTCATAGATAAGTTGCCGGCTATTGAAATTTCAAACACTATTAGAGTTGACCGAAGAACATTGATGAGTTTCAAAAGTATTTTTTCTTCTCCTGATTTATTGAGTCAAGGATCTTTCTTTAACAACCTCTATACTCTTCTGATTCACTTTAGAATAAATTCCCACTCTCCATTGTACGCGAAACCCTTTCGGAGAGAAACAGATCTCCCTCGTCTTCCATACCCAAGTTTTCTTCGTTCAGCCAAGTTTTGTTTGTTGCTGTTCATAGGCAAGATTTAGGCTCTGATAGCTCATCTTGCCTCTGGTTTTGCTCCATTAGATGTGTCAAGAAACCAAGTCAACCAAAAGCTCAGGCTTCTAGTTGCAGGCCAGGAAAGATTTTTATATTCTAACACGCCAGGGGCATGGCCGCTCCGAGCCTTGCATGTTAAACCTTAATTTAAAATCGGGTGGCAGTGAGATTCAAACTCCTGAGTCATGACTTCTTGGTCAACAAGACCTTGAATACTATGTCAAAGAACCAACTCAACCAAAAGCTCAAGCTTCTTGTGCAGGTCCAGAAAAGGTTTTATATTTTGACAAGATGCACGTTGATCATCTACCCAGTTATTTAGGGTTATAAATGTCTTTTGATTTATTCACTTGCCTTTATGCATGTGTATTTTTCTCTATCTACAAGTTCAGACTTAGGTCTTTGATGACTAATTTTTTCCGTGTTTGTTCATGTTGGAATTGTAAAACCCTTATCAAAGTTTATGTGCAATTGAAAAAATTAGTGAATCAATAACTACGGCTTTTGATTCTATGTTTATCGGTGTACTACTCTCTTGAATGAATGTGGGAGAATGAAATTTTGAAGAAAAAAGGTTGGGGTAAGGTTTGTGTGTTGTGTTCATCCATCCTCCCCGGACCCCACTTGCAAGAATCTTACTGAGTAGTTGGTGTTATTTTTGTCATTGCTTGCCTTAGGTAACATCCATCTTAGCATACTTCCATGGTGAAGCCTCCTGCTCACTTCCAGAGGTGAGGCGTGGAAGCAGTCCTTTCACGCAATGTGGGTCATCAACCCAAGGTAATACTTTTGCTAATCGCAAGAAATCCCCATGATCTCCCTTTCTATTTTTTTTTCCTACACATATTTCTGTTATTTCATCAGGTAGCAGCATTGTGAATGCAACTGGTCAAACCCACCAGAAACAAACTACAAGTTTCTATTACAACATAAATGATATAGACCCATCTGTTGTGAATGAGTTACCGCAGGAGATTCAAGACGAGGTGCGTGCTTGGCTTAGGCCTCAGAAACAGGCAAATATTGCCAAAAAAGGTTCGGACATTACTCGCTATTTCTCCCCTGCTAAATGAAACCTTGAATGGATTCTTTCCTTTCAAATGTCTAAATATGTTACCAAACCTTTCAACAATGGAGTCAAATTTTCTGTTACTAGTTTCAATTGAACTTGATTTGAGTTGTTAGAGTCGTAAATCGTGATTCGTGATTGATAGCTTTGAGCATGAACTGAAACGTCATTCGCAGGGGTTGTTCATGGTATAGTACATAATACCCCTTTGTCTCATGAAAGGAGTTCTCTTTCTCAATGTTTTTTTGTCCCTTAGAAGAGTGACATTTCAAAATATTTGTTCATCGTCATTATATTGAATGTTTTTAAATAAAAAAGAATAATGCGATGTAAAATTAAATATGTTTAAGTTTAGTTAAGCTAACAAATATGTACTCCCTCTGTTTTATGAAACGGTTCTCATTTTGTTTTTTAGGAGAAATATAGTGTATATTTGTGATTGACTTTCTAATTTTGCTTTTGATATGATGGGTAAAAGTAAGATGTGATAGATAGACTATTAGAGAAAAGTATAATGTGATAGGTAGGGTAAGAAAAAATAGGATTAAAAGTGGGGTTTTAATAGAAAATAGAAGTATTTTAGGGAAAATAAAAAAAATGAAAGGGAAAGTGTTTTAAGAAACAAAGGAAGTACTATAAAAATTTACTATGGTTGAGCATTTGTAATTGTAAATCAACACTTATAACGATCAATATTTTTAAGAACATGAGCTTCTATAAGTCAACATAGGGCACTACCAAATGGTAAGGCAATGTTAATATTCCCTTCTTTTGCAAAAATAGTTTTTGTTTTGATTTTTGTCAGATTTATTTCACGTAACTTGACTTTTCAATTATATCATTAGCGTCAAATAAAAGAGAGACAAATTATTTAAATAACTTATTAGCAAATGTTATATGCTTTATCATTATTTTAACTTTTAAGGTTTATTTTGTTCGATATCTGAAAAATGTTGTAGTAAAGAAAAATTACAAATTCCAAACAAAAAAAATCATTTAATCTTGTGCGTCGAACGGGTTAGAATGTTAGTATATTTTAGGGAGAAGTTTAGAATTAAGGAGATAAAAAATTAAGACAAGACCCTTTATGAAATTTGGAAGGATTATACTCCTAACCTCAAATGTTTAATTGTTTTGATGAAATGCCACGAAGAACACCTTATGATGATAGTATACCTTTGAAGAAACATAATGGAGTTATTGTTTCTCAAAATGAGTATGCTAAATTATTGGTAGTTTGTACTTGGGCCGATATTGCATATTATTGTGAGACAATTGTTTGAGAATGGAGTACTCACTATGGAGTATGTGAAATCGGAGAGGAATTTGCTTATCCATGAATTAAGAGAATTAATAGAAAGTTAATGTTTGAAAAATCGGGGGAATGGGTTTAAGTCCATTGGTTTAGGAAATTGTAGTTGACAACCCTAGTCCTTGACTAGCGTCTAATGGTCAAACAAAGCTACGAAAAGAATCATTTTTAATGATTTCAATTCCTATGGCGTATTGTGTTGAATTTAAATCTCATTGTAATCCATAACCTTGTTTGGGTGGTCCTCCAAACTTTATGGATATACTTTGTGAGGGTGAGTATTTTTTGTACTCTTAATAATTTCATAGCCACCTTTGTGGTCTAGATTGCAGTAGACGTGATGAAATCACCTACGTGGCAACGTAAGTGTGAAGGTGTGGCAACGTTCTGTGAAAAATTATGGGCTGTGTTTCTAGAGAACTTATGAGAGGTTTTTTTTGCCAACTTTAGTATCGACTATCGCAATCAAAGAATACTTCGTATAATCACAATAAAAATATTTTTCACAATAATCGTTTTTCCTCGCGGAGCAATTGCTCCGTATGGTTCCTTCCGCCTTCTGTGGGTGCGCACAGAAGACGGTTCCATGTTAACCTTGAGGGGCATTTCCTTGTATCGACCGCAGTGGTGAAGGCGAAATCGCTTCTAAGGCAGTGGTGTTTTATCCACCGCACGGTAATTTTCACGTTAGTTGTTTCATTTTTCGTGTGCGGCGGTGTCGTTTGGAGTTTGGAAGATTAAGCAGATCACTTCTTAGTTCCCGGCAGAGGATTCAATTTCCTTTTCTCAATCAAAGGAGTATTATAGCAATAGATCAATTCTTCCACCAACTATCAAAGAGCACACTCTGATCTTTCCCTATTTTTTCTTCTTTTATTGCTGCGTAAGAAGTTCTGAAAATTTAAAGAGCTATTTGAGTTTGGAGTGCTATTTGGAGTATTGCAGCAAAAGAACCAAGAATTGGTGTTTAAATTCTAAAATTACAATTTTTTTGTCATTTCACAATGTATTAAAAACAATCGAGGACACTCCCCGGCCCTTAGATCCCACACTGCTCTTGCCCATTTCATGAATTCCTGGATCTACGCCTGGCAACACGTGTATTATATTAGAGCATGTTTGGGAATAGCTTTAGCGATTAGTGTTAGCGTTTTGAAAAGGCTATCTATGAGCAGCGTTTAACGTTAACGTTTTCAAAGTAATCTGCACCGTTAAAATTTTATCAAAAACGCTAACGCTAATCCCTAAAGCTAGCGTAATTTACTCTAAAGATTAACTTTTAGGTAATCAAATAAGGATGTTAATCACGCGTACATAATTAAAAGATGAACTTCATCCTTACACTGACTTCTACAATATTTTTGAAGATACTCCCTGTATTTCTTAAATATTGAAATAATGCCTCCTGAATTTTTAAAAATGTTGCCAATGCTCCATGTGTGCCAGATTTAGAAGTACGTTAATCATATGTTCATCAATAAACGTGTTGGATGACGAACTTTATCGACTGATGTCTGGCTTTTGAATTCGGTTACCGATGAGTAATCGAGAAAAAATTTATAGGCTTTAAAGAGGTTAAAAACTCACGTGTGATATACGGATCGGAGTATGAGTTTATACAGTGGCGGATCCAAAAAAAATATGATTGGGGCAAATACAGTACACTAAAGAGTATGGTGGGGTCAGGGGTGGAACTCCTAATTTTTTTAAAAGCATTTGATAATAATAAAAAATAAATTATTTTTAAAGTATTCAAATTAAAAAATTAGTTTCAAAGTAGAAAAATAAAATACAAAATATATCGTAACATAATATAATTATGATATTTCAAATATTTTACCTGTATATGTTTTTAAGTGATTATTTTTTACTTTTAAACTAAGATTTTCTTTTGTCAGTGGGGGTAAACTAACTTTTTATCAGGGTCGTTATTTTAATTTCTATACAAAAAAATTATTTTAACTCTATATTACAAGATTAAAAAACCGACTGGGGGCGACTGGCCCCATATTCATACATGTAGATCCGCCTCTGAGTTTATATGAATCTGTACTTGCACTAGATGAGTATGTGATTGACGCATTCTTAAATGTGAAAAAGACTAAAGTAGGAGTCAAACATTGAAAATATATCAAAATAGGACTTCTATGTTTTTATTCCCGAAATAGGAGTTAAAATTAATTTACAGTACCAAACATGGTCATGTACATTACCAAAAAGTATAGTAACGTGCACGTGTACAGTGTCACATTACATCCACAGAGCAAACTCATATTTTGGGAATAAAAATATAAAAATTCTATTTTGATACTTTTTTATGTTTTAGTATTATTTAGGGTGTCTCTTAAATTTGGCACAGAGATACCATTGGTACAATACTTTTAAAAGTTCTGAAGACATCAGTATAATTTTTAAAGTTCATGATAAATCCACACAATTATTAAAAAGTTCAAGAATAAATTACACAAATAGCTCTGAATGGTGATTTTGTTCCATTGGCATCCGCATAAAAGCAACTAAGTACAGAGAATATTACCTTGATGAGTTGATCCGGAATGGATGGTCAAAATCGTCCTTGTATTGATTTTTGTTACACACATTTGGTCTTTGTTGCTGATGAACTGACAATTCAGACTTTATTGATGTTTGAATGTCCAGCATCAAGTCTTCACATGTATTATCACCAGATGACCCATAGTCAAACACCTCCGACTGACCTAAAATGCATGTAACAATTGTGAGTAGGCCTGAGTTTGGTTTTAGTGATTCGACTTTCACCTAAAACTAAAGATAAAACGAAAGGTAAGTTGACAATTTGGTTCGGTTCAGTTTTGCATAAAAAAAAATATTAAATGTTGCTTATTCGATTCGGTTTTTAACAATTTTTTTTTGGTTTTTTCAGTTTATAAAAGTAGAAACTTATAAGCATTAAAAATGTAAAAATACTAACTCGATGAAGCAAAAACAATATGTAGTATCGTTAGGTTTGGTTTTTTTGTTTGATTTTTACACAAAAACAATAATCAAACGGAAGGTTATTGTTCCGTGTGGTTCAATTTTACTTAAAAAATATGTGTTTGGTGCCCAAGAAACATTTAGGAGATTTCAAATACTTTCAAAGACACCGTATGTAAAATCAATTACAAAGAATTTTTGTTTTTTATTATAATACTTTCTTTTTTATTGTAACACCAAAGTATTTTTTTTATGTAAATATGTAAATTACTCGTATCAATATTTTTAATGTTAGTATAATTCTATATTAGTATTAGCTATTGGTGCTTATATTCTTAGATTTTTTAAAGTTTATAATAATATGGCTAAAATGTTTAATTAATAGTTAAGAAAATAATTTTATTCGACTAGTAATTTGTTTGCATTTGTATTTCTATGATTTTTCTAAATATCACATATATTCAAATAAATAAAGAAAAATATCTAAAAAGTTTGGTTTATTCGTTTCTGTTCGGTTTCTCAAAATTAAAACTAAAGCGAGACCAAACACTATCATTTGCAGTTTTTCGTTTTCCCAACCCAGCCCTAATTGTGAGCCATTAGTGTCGATAATAATAGAGGTGGATTAAAAAAAACCTGATGATGTAGTTCCAGTTGTCCTACTCCCATCTGTAGTTTTCATCGTTCGATACATCTGACAAATTCAAAATTGTTAAAACAAAATAAACAACGTATGCGCTACTTATTTTGATGATTCACACTGAAACAAAATGCTGGTGCGTTAATAAAAAATTTGATGATTCAAAAATACACTAAAGATATACACTAACATTTTGATGATTCACACTGAAACAAAATGCTGGTGCGTTAATAAAAAATTTGCACTGACAATATATGTCTGTGTGAACTATCACCTTAACATTATACTGACACAGAATGATGGTGCACACCTGCGATGTACAAATTGAGGTACAAAATCTTGAGGTACAAATAGTTTAATCCAAAAAAACTACTTTTACTATCTACTGGAATATATTATTTCAAAATTGATATCAAAATAGTTTTGAATTCTTTTGAAACTGAGAGATTAATTAAGAGCAATGCTAGGGGTACACCTTTGGTGTACCTCATTTGTCCCCCACCCCTTTCTCTACCACTCATTTATATTTTATTTTTATTTATTTATTTCTTTTTTAATCTCTTGCCCATTTATGTGGACAAGGAGAGTGTGGAACAAATGAGGTACACCTTTGGTATATTCCTAACCTTTTTCATTACTTAATTAGGTGTTTGTATTATGACGTTTGACTATCAATGTACTCGGTAGTTAGTATATAAAAAGAGTAGTTTGATACTCTCTCGTCTCATTTTTTTTCTTCTCTTTTTCTAGTCCCACAAAGTCATTGTTTTTACAATTAAAAATTACTTTTATCCTAATTAATTCTCAACCTATCTATCATATCATATATTTTTACTAATTATCTATTCATCACATTTTACATTTATTCATCATATTAAAAGTATTTTTGGAAAGTCAACACAAAATATCCATCTCTTATACTCCTACCCTCCCTATATAATTTGATTACAAATTATAAAATCTCTCGCCTTTTGAAATTATTTTATTTCAAATTGATACATGAATAAGAAATACGGGACAAAAATATTATTTCCTAAAAGTCAAGAGGAGAGAAGGATTATTACGAGGCATAATAAATAAAAATTATCAAGAAGAGAGAAAAAAGATTAGAAATCACCCTAAATAGGACTAAAACATAGAGAAAAATACCAAAATAGGACTTTCATATTTTTTTCCCGAAATGGAACTTTGCACTGTGGTAATGTGACTTTGCCCTGTTGTAATGTGGTAGTGTACATGTGCAAATTAATATACTTTTTTGGTAATGTATATGACCATGTATGGTAATGCAAGTCTTATTTCGGGGATAAAAACATGGAAGTCCTGTTTTGGTATATTTTCAATGTTTTAGTCCTACTCTGGTCGGAAAAATTCCCTATATAGAAGTAAAAAACTATGAAAATACTAAAATAGGAGTAATAAAACTTTTAAATCCAAAATAAGAGTTCACACTATCATTGCTATATAGTCACACTCACCACATTGTCACATTATAACTGCCACCGTGGATCACTGACGGCGGACTTGATCAACGTGTAGTCGCGTACTCTTAAACTAGACTATCATTACACTCATATTTTGGTCTTAAATGACCTAGGACTCGTATTTTGTTATTTTCGTACTTTTTTACTCCTATGTAGAGAGATTTCGTAGAGAAAAAGACGAATGTAAGAGTAAAACATTGAAAAAATAACAAAATAGGGTTCCTTGTTTTTATTTTCGAAATACGAGTTATAAATGCATTTACATTACCAATCATGACCATGTACATTATTAAAAAACATAGTAAAATACTCATGCATAGTGTCAAATTACCACAGTGACAATTCCTATTTAAGAAATAAAAGTACGGAACTCATATTTTGATACTTTCTATATGTTTTACTCTAATTTAAGGTGATTTATTTTATTACTCCGTATTTTTTAAGATTGGTTGTTAAGAGTATATATAAATACAAAATAAAATCTACATATTTAAAAAATACATCAAAAGTGATGTGATAAAAATATTTTATTTCATTAAATAGTTAATAAAAACATCTAAATAATCAATATTTTTGCAATTTTTAAATTGTAAAGTGTGTAAATTATTTAGACACATATAGAGAGAATACTCCGTACTTATTTAAAAAACTAAAACTAATGGCAAGGGCTAATATCAAAGGAAGTCATTAATTACTACGTTGCGCGGTCAAAACATACAATTTGATTTAAAGTGCACTAAAGCAAAGTTTACTCAACAATATACTGTACTCATCACCCCCAAAAGAAAATGTTGGCAGTACTAGTAGTACTGTGTACCAGAAGTCTGATGCATACAACTCCATGCGAGGACAAGGAGTCAAATAAGAGCAATGCTAGGGGTACACCAAAGGTGTACCTCATTTGTCCCTCACTCCCTTCTTCACCACCCATTTTTATATATTTTTTATTTATTTAATTTTTTTTAAAATTCTTGCCCATTTATGTGGTAATGGAGGGGGTGGGGGACAAATAGGGTACACCTTTTGGTGTACCCCTAGCATTTTTCGTCAAATAATGAATGACTTTTGCATGTGTGTGTGCCTAATGGAGAACTTATCTATCTACTTGCTCAATAGGGTTCCATTTTTTAATCAAGTATAAAAATAAGCAAGTGTTAAATTATAAGTAGTTGACATCCAATTTAACCGTTGATATCATAGATAAAAGTAAGATCTGATGAATAAATTACGGAGTATATATTAGAAAAAAAATATGATAGGATATGTAGAGTATAAAAAAGTAAAGGATAAAAATGGTTTTTATAGAAAATGAAAATATTTTGGTGGAAGAGAAAATGTTTTGCAGAACGAAGAGAGTACAATAATCCTCTCGTAATAAGTGTCACTCTTTGAACAACGTATAAAATCTCATAAACTATGTTAATTATAATTGGTATAGAAAACAACAGTAGAAAGAAGATCGTTTAAAAATCTGTAAAAGAATTTTAAACAATAAGAGAAGATGATAATATTTATTTTATAAAATGCTCAATAAAAATATAGAAGCAAACAAAAGTTATTGTACACAATCAGACTACACCGTATTCTTTTACTAATGCATAAATATGATTAACAATAAAGTATTAATAAATAACTAGTAATTAAAAATTAAATAATATAATTAATCTACTATAAGTATCAATGCAGTTTGAAATATATAATTTTTAGTTTTTATTTTTAAAGCAAAGAAAGTATATTACTCTTCCATCCCGCATATATCTTCTCAAACACTATTTATGAGATCAAATTTAACTCATTTTAGTTGCTTATTTAATTACTAATTTTATAAAATAGTATAGTTTTGTCTCTTCTTATTTTGCAAAACATTTCATGAATTTTTTTTATTTCCATTCCCTTATGGAGCCAAAAATTCATTATTTTTTGGCTTTGGGATATGATAAAATAAAGCAAATTGGCTCTTTAAAATGTCTGCGCTTCTTGCAATTGTGAAGTAGCAGTTAGTCAATGCAACTTTCGACGCTCATCATGGGTCATCTGGAAACAGCCGCTCTATGTTTTAAACATAGGGGACAGATTGCGTACATCGGACCCCACTTACCCCGCAATGGGCGGGAGCCATTGAGGACATGGGGTAATGTCGTTGTTGTTCATGATTTTTTCGCAATACAAATTTTATTTTTAAACTTTACACGTGGAATCAAATAAAATATACTCCGTATTGAAAATAAAATCAATCAAGCTTCGTGTAACACAATGAGAAAATCTATACGGAATAGAGGGAATATTTCTTAGGAGATCTCCAATGGAATGCCTAAAAGAGATTCTAGGAGGAGAGAGCTAGAGTGAGATGTTGATGGATGCCACTCCATCCTAAAATGTTATTCCCAGTTACTATTCACACGGTTAAATTTTAATCACTTTCTTTACCTATTTTCGTTAGTTATTTGTTAAAATAGTATAAACTTGTTACCTTTTGTTTTGTAGGACTTCTAAGTGAAATTTGCACTAAATAGGACTAAAACATAATGACTTTTCTAATGTAGGACTTAAACTTTTTTATTCCCTAAATAGGACTTAATAATGACCTAGTGGAAAGAATAATGTCCAGTAATGATGAACATTTAGTTGAATAATGACTACTAGATAATGACCAAAGGTCCTACATTGGGAAATAAAAACATATGGTCCTATATTGGAAAAATCATTATGTTTTAGTCCTATTTAAGTAAATTTCTCGACTTTTAATGTAGTCTTTAAATTTATAAATTTTAATTTTTAAATTTGAAACCTACAATCAAAAAAATTGAATCACAAATAAAGTCGGTCAAAACTCGTAAACAGAAATGGGAAGAATGTTTTAGGATGGAGGAAGTATTAATTTAGATAGATGATCAATAGAGATGCTCAAAGAGGAGAATGAAAGGAAAATACTTGGGCCAATAGAGGTGCTCAATTGGCATCTTTGAAGTAAGTCTACACTTTATCTAGTGAAGGATGCTACCACTATGAATGCTCTTAGTTATCACTTTTCAAAAAGGAAAAATTACCCAAAATAATCCCAACTTTACCCGGTCTTTCAAAAATAATCCCACCTTTCACTGTGATGCATAATAATCCCAACTTTATTGAAATTTGCCAATTTTGGGTCGCCGTTAAGTTTCTAACGCAGGGTTAACGGAAATGCTCGTTTTAGACGACAAAATGAAAGTTGAGATTATTTTTGATGAATTTTTGTTTTTTAATTTTTTTTGAAATTTTTATTTAAAATTTTGAATTACTTTCAACCTCCATTTCTTTTTCTTTTTTAAAGATTATTCTTACCTTAGAAAAAAAAGATATAAAAAATAATGAAAATGAGAAAAATAACTAAAACCATACAAAAATAATCAAATAAATAATGTAATCAATAGAAATTAAAAAAAAACTGGTAAGAAATAAAATAAATATAAACGGAGTGGTGGGTTTTAACATTTTACACACTATACGGAGTTTTAATGTACTCCTTATTTTTTAAAAGAAAAAGCCGTCATGTAAAGTTGGAATTATTGTAGATAATTTTTTATAAAAAAT